TGATAAAAGGCTGATAAAGGCTGATAAAAATCATTGGTTCAAACTACAAGTTGTCAACAACTACGGTATAGTAAAACTTTACGGTAAAGTAATTGTAATCTCTGATAATTGCCTTAAAATATGTTAGATGCTCGATAGGTTACAAAATTGCTCATTATTGTGATAAAATTATAACGTCTACATGTTTTGAATTGCAAGGTCCGACAGCTGCTCCATGCTATGGCCAACTCCGCAGAGAAAATGAAGCATTGAAACAAGAGGTGGAAGGGATGCGTCAGCAACTTGAAGATTCAAACGCAACGATCAGGCAACTGCGGGCAAATTTGGAGTCGTTTACACTGTATAATTAGCAGCAACATAGATATTATATTCTCAAATGCTGCACTGAAAGGAAATGTTGGTTATTGTGTGACCTTTTTAAATATTGGCGCCTCTAATTGTAAATGTACATTTAACCCCCATTCTCACTCGGGGTCTCATTTTTTTTAGGCCCTTATTTCACACAGACCACGAATCCCACGAATCGCCAGGAATTGACAAATTTCAGGATTCGTGAAGATTCGTGAGATTTTGCCAATTTTCTGGTCTAATTCGACACGCTCTACGATTCAGTTACGATACAGGTGCGATCCCNCAACGTCATATCAACATAGTTTCAACGTTGACCATCAATGTTGATTCAACATTGATTCAATGTTGATTTGCCCGCTGGGATAGTGTTACGAATATTCGTGGGATTCGGTTGGAATCGCACGAATATTGTCCAGAAGTTCACTACGATTTTTTGGAATCGGGAGTTCGTGGCCTAAACTTTGAACAGCTCAAAATTTTTGCCACGAATTCTTCCCGATTGATCAAGAATTGCAATAACTGACTACGATTATATACGAATCTGCTAAGAACTTCACCAACTGATTACGATTCAACCACGAATCCTGAAATTTTCAATTCCTGGCGATTGGTGGGATTCGTGGTCTGTGTGAAATAGGGGCATCAAAGTTTTTGCCACCAATTCCTGTTGGTCAAGAAGTGCAAGAACTGACTACGAATAGATACGAATCTGTTAAGTACTTCACGAACTGTTTACGATTCAACCACGAATCGTGAAATTTGTCAATTCATGGCCATTCGTGGGATTCGTGGTCTGTGTGAAATAGGGGCTTTACTGCTACATGTATATGTTACATATACGTACGATGGGCGTAGTGAGTGAGGGGACGCTGATCTTACTTACTAATACGTTCCCGTATTCTCTGACCACAGGGTGCGCTAGTAGTCCTTAACAAAAATACTGAAGGCGACCCTGTGACATTTGGAGCAATTTAGAGAAACACGTTCCTCACCAGACATACTCTCTACTGGACAGCCCATGACAATTGGTCCTATATATTTTTTTTCTTACGAGTGTCGCTTTGGTCTGACCTCTGATGACAGACGGGTACGATGCTGGCGAACTGCTGGTAAAGCATTTGAACCACATGTACTGAATTTTCGAACCCGGAGCAGCATATTCATCATGGTGTGGGGCTGCATCAGCATCCATGGCGTGGGCGAATTGATTGTGGTTGATGAAAACATGAATCACTAGAAACATATCGATGTTTTGGAGTCAGGCTTGCTACCATCTATTACTAACATGTTTGGTGACAGGAATTATCCATTTGTTCACCAGGATGACAATGTTCCTTGTCACAGGACCAGAGCAGTTGATGATTGGTTTGACCAACAGGACATTCGCAGGGTGATGTGGCCTGCCCAGAGTCCGGATGCAAACATAATAGAAAATGTGTGGAATGATATGTCAAAACTTTGGACAAATGCCCGTCTAACCAGCAGAGAAACTCTGTTATATTCAGTGTTTCATGCTTGGGCCAGCATAAGCCCTGAACGCATCAGACAATTATATGAATCCTTGCTTCGTAGACTGGCACCTATTATTAGGTCACGTGGCTATGCCACTTAGTACTAATTTTGGACTTCAAACTGCATATTTTGGTAGAATGTATATTTTGTTCTCATTTTGTGATTTTTTGTGAAATTTGATGTTAATAAAATGATACCAGGAGCATATCATTCCACGGTCATTTATCTCCCCCATAGTATTGGCTCAGTAGGGGTGACACTTCTTTTGTCCAGTGTGTGTATGTACAGTATGTATGTATGTATGTATGTATGTATGTATGTATGTACAGTATGTATGTACTGGGGTACCAGTAGTATATGTAAATGTATATACTGTATATATGTGTGACTAATTAGCAATGTGTCTTAAACACCAGGCCCATTTGGGTCAAATATTTTGCCATTATATGCATTTACTTATGCAAGTAGTCTGATTTTCTTTCTGCCTATGTCTCTTTTTAACCGTCAAGTTGCCGTTATAGCATAATACGAGTGTATTATTCATCATTGTATCCATAACAACTTTATTTTAAATATGGGTGGCGTGAATTTTAGTGACAGATATTTTTGCTTAAGTAAAACAAAAAAAAAGAAAAAAAAAGAAAGAAAGAAACAGTGAGGAGTGAAACTGTGCGAAATAAGCTTACTTATTCTTGGCTAACATGTAAAGCATCAATTCATTTCACTTTGTAAGTAAAAGGCAGTCAAATTACTTTTATATGAGCAGATGAAGATGCATGGTAATTCTGAAGTTACGTACCGGTGTGACAGGAATGGAAGTCCGCTAGGAACCATAGTCCGTCCCCCATTACTTTGTGCAGGGGACATTCGTCTCAAATACTAACCCCAATAATACTACGACTAACCCTAACCTGAAGTTATCATATGGGACCTCGGACTTCTTTGCCTAGGATTACCAATCTTGTCACACCGGTGTTAGATACATGTACAGTCTTCCAGTAGCACAATTTTGATTTTCTTTCTAAATCTAATCTGTAATTTTGTATATTTAGAAGAATTTCTGTTCTGTATATTTCATATAATATATTTTTTTCTATTTTAGTTAAAATCTACCTGTTTGTGCGATGAAATTTGTTGAATTTCTGAGAATTTTTCAAGTATTACCGACAACAAACTTTACTAGACGTAATCCGTCCTATTTCATTTTGTGATTAACTTTTGGTAATCAGTTTTTGATTCTTTTGATTTTGTAAAATTTTGATTGATTTGGAAATAAAATAAAATTGCTTTGCAAATCATGTGGCTGTTTATTTTATTAGTTTTTTTCATGTTGTTTTTGTCACCAAAATACTAACAGATTGAATACGTGGCATACACCACAAGCAATCCAAGAGTTTCGGTGTGACGTGACAGAGTCCCCCATGACAGAAAGTCCACTTCCCATTCATTTGTACAGGTAAGCCTCGTCCTAGATTTGACCCACCTAGGTCAGGCTAACCTTAACCATAATGGCTAAATGGAGGGCGGATTTTCTGTTTCACGGACTCTTAGTTTCTTTACATCGGCCGTATGCAATAATGAAGTGCAGTGCATACAGTGTACGCCATTGCCTCTCTATCAGAGCTTAAGCGACCTTGTCAGATAATCGCTACATGAAGTAAGTTTTCTCGCCAGCGTGATCTTTTTCATGACGATAGCAGTGTCTCGATCTTTTCTCACAAATTTCAATGCTGAAATATTGGTAACAGTGACTGTTGGTCCGAGCACCGTACATGTACTAACGTACACATATGAGCTGATGACTGTGTACCTGCAATATTGTGGAAAGGATCAGGGGCGGATCCAGAGATATTTTCTGACAGTCTTCCAAATTATCTTTGTTGATCCTTCCACCATTTTTGACCGTCTTCCGACAGAAAAAAATAAATACCTGTCAATGTAAACTTGAAAATCTGACCGTCTTCCGGAAGACCCAGAAGACCCCCTAAAGCCGCCCCTGAGGATTACTAATGTTCTCAATTTCTTTACTGCAGGAAAATAAGCTGGTTTTACTAGACCCGCGCTGAGCCCAGAACATTGTTGTTTACTTGTGTAGTCAATGTCGGTAAGCTTTTACTGTAACCTCGATCGTTAAAGAACTACTAAGAAGGTCAGTATTTGTATGTATTTACAAAAAAGAACTAGGTAGACGATTAGGTAGACGATTAGGGCTGAAAACGATATAAAAATCAGAGACCTGAGCATGGAAATTAGGATTCATTTAGGTAATGACAATAAAATACTACATTTTTATAGTTTGCAGCTTGACTTATATTACATGTCACAGTTGTTATTTTCACGACCTGACCTGACATCATAACGTGAGATTTTATTCATGTAAACCAGATTATTGTATTCATTTAGGAAATAAGGTTGTTCAATCAAAGCCTTTTAAGTAGTTACCTCCGCCAAGGAGGTTATGTTTTCATCCCTGTTTGTCTGTTTGTTTGTTTGTCATCAACACAACTCAAACAGTTATGGACCGATTTTGATGAAACTTTCAGGAACTGTCAGAAGTGGGCCAAGGAAGAGATGATAAATTTTTGGTGGTGATCCGGATCAATAATCAATCAATAATCAATAATAATAATAAAAATCGCTGCCTTGGCGGAGGTCTGCGCTCTCGGAGTGCTACATGTAACTGAAATGAAAGTCACTTCTCAGAGACCACCTGTACGTCGCTACTGGATATTAAATCATTAAGTCATGTCTATAGTTTACAACTTCTGCAGTTGAGGCTGATGCCTGAATACATGTAACATACATTTGGCGTTTTTCGCCATGACTTTAAGGAAAAGATAATTTTTAGTTTTTTGCCAGTTGTTTATAATTTTTTAGAGATTAAGTCCTCGATCGGTTCTCTGAGTGCTTTTCAATAATAATAATAATAATAATAATACCTAGAAAAATACTCAGAGAGCACACCCTTTGCTAAGACCAGTAAATAACTAGTACTGTATTAAACTTTTACTTACTCAAAATTTCTATTTGGCCTATGTCTTAATATCTGTCTGGATTTCAATGACATAGTGGACATACCTGTACAGTCTGTACAATGTGCATTCTTTGTTATCAGGCTTGTGTGGTTTTCAGGTTTAAAAATAGACCTGACCTATTTAATAAGCCAGTGCTCGCCTTTGACAGAGCAGCTGGACTAAAGTCGAATAATACACCAGTCAACGCCGGTAAGTATTATGTGTTGTATGCTTTACAGCCGGTGTGGCAAGAATAGAAGTCCGCTAAGGACCGTAGTTCGTTCCCTTTTACTTTATACAGGTGACATTCGTCCCATATACTTTTAAGTATGTTAAAACCCCATACCCAGACTTACCCTTACCTGTACGAATCCTATGGGGCCACCATTTGTATCACACCATCAAATTGTAAGTCTTCTAGTACAAATTGTTTGCCTTTAAAGTCGCTCCCAAGATGTTAGATTTTGTCCACATCGTCAATATTTCCACCTAGTCAGGTCACCAGGTGTGAAATGATGAGAGGCTTGGGACAGCAACGTGTTTGCATCAGACTCGTAGCTAGGGGTACAGGAAGGAGATAATAAAAGAGACGCCATTTTGGCCAGAAAAGAACAGAAAAGTCGGCCATCTACTAAAGGCGAATAACAGGCCATGCGTAGGCAGCTGGGAATGGGGGGAGGGGGGGGGCGAGAAAACCAGCCCTTTGACCGAAAAAAGGTGACTGACTGACTAGAAATTCGATGATCTAGGATCTCTGACATTTTTCAAGTTGGGCCATGATCAGCTACATGTAGAGTCTCAGTCGTAGGTTAGGGGTAAAACAGGCCACCCTCAAAATATTGCTGACTATAGGCCTGGAAATAGGAACAATATCAAATTTAGCCTTTATTGGCGGTATTAGGGATGAGGTGGTGATGGTGGGGGTGGGGGTAACTATTCAGAAAAAGTAAGTGAGAGGGTGAGGCTATTTTCCTTAGCCTTCCCATTTGCTTGTGGTTAATATGTTGGACTATACCTTTACATGTTGCTGTATTATTTTACCATGGTAAAAAACTGCAGTCTTCGTGTTTAAACTGACACTGCCTGCTTGCACGAATGTTAACTTTACCTGTATTTCTTTTACAGATGAAGGGACTAATGGATATTTCCCAAACCACTTCGGTGCTGCTCGTGTTCATCATCACGTTCCTCGTGGTGTGGTTATGGAGACGACGTGAAAAGGTAGGATGAATACTTAATAAGTTCAACCAGAGAGAGAGAGAGAGAGAGAGAGAGAGAGAGAGAGACAGAGATCCCCCGAAGTTGGATATAGAAGAATAACTTAGTTCATTGAAATACCACTCTCTCTCTTTTCTTTGTTTATCATACATAATGTGTAAGAAATATGCTCACTTTACAGGAATCAAGCGCATTCAGTTTGTCTAAATTTATGTACAGACTTAGAAATTTGTTTTGGTATGGGACAGAATTGCCTAGATTCTGGTGGTGAGCCATTACTCAATTAGTTGATTAGTAAATAAATGTATAAATCAATGATAATTAAGAATTGAGCTTATTAATCGTCTAATTAAAATAATTTCAAGTAATGTATTTATTTATATATTTATTTCAAGACTAAAGGAAACCTGCCACGTAAGGAGTTCTGGTTCCCCTTCAGTGAACTCTTAGTTAGCTTCGTAGACTCGGATAAGTTGTTTAAAGATCTGGGCAAGAAGCGACCCATGGCAAGGTTCCGCAATGGATTTGATGGCCCCGATGATTTTATCCTGACCACCCACAAGGCCATCCATGAAGCTTTCATTAAGAAGGGGCATTTATTCACTGACAGACCAACCAGGTTTATTTGGACCGAGTGGTCCACGCATAATGGTAAGTTAAATTTCTAGAATCCAAAGCTTTTGGAGAAATAAATTTGTCAAGCTTTAATCAGTCATGGGGGTAGTCTATTGATTCGATAATGACATTCTGACAACCGTGTGCAGTAAGTTATAAACGATAATTAGCAGTTTCAGAAGGCGTGACAGACATCTGAGCCTCTTAAGTTGATTGCAGTTCAGCGAGAATCCCCTCGGAGATAGATCGATTCACAGTTTGTACGATATGGTCAGGGAATGGTCCCTTAGACCCAAAACATGGATAGAAAGTCAAAGGTGTGGTTGCTCTGTAACATTTGTTTTATGATTTATCATTCAGTCAGCAGCAAGCGTATTTATCATGTGATGTATGTAAAAAATAAATGGATTCTCTGTCAAACTGTCTGACACAGGTATGGTCCACGGCTTATTAAACTCCTGGGGTGATCTGTGGAAACAACAGCGGAGATATGCCCTGATGACTTTACGTGACTTTGGACTGGGGAAGACCTCCATCGCGGAGGCGATCCAAGAAGAGATAGGATATCTTGTTGACGAGTTCCAGAAATTTGAAGGCAAGGCCGTAGATCCGCAGCAGCTTTTGATGCCTGCCATATCCAATGTAACAAACTTCCTACTGTTTGGAGAAAGGTGAGATTCACAAACCACACCCGGTACCGCATTGGTTTAAACCTTTCTACTTTCCAAAGATGAGACTATTGATATGGACCATTGGTCGATCATCGTGTCGCGCAAATCCAGTTGATAACCCCTTCTTCTCCAGCTACCCCCCTTAAATGATCCAAATGGGCAGAAAATAACTGCAAATTATAAAAAAAATAATTATTCACATTTGGGTCACAGAAAATGATATTCCCCACCAAGATTGGGAATTTATTTTAGGAATTACTAGTCAAGACAATAACATAAAAAAAGTAGCTGAGATAACTGTTTCATGCCATCTGCCTTTGTGGGATATGGAAGTTTTGTTTAAGTATATCTACAATGCGCTTAACTGTATCAAATTAGTTAAGTCATTTTAATTCTAACCACTACTGAGAAATTATTTATAGTGCATATCATTGTATATATATATATATATATATATTTTTTTTCGATTTTCAGGTTTCAATATGATGATCCAAAGTTCCAGCAGATTATGAAGAATTTGATGGGACAATTCCAGTACTTCTTGTATGAAGTATCATTTTATTATAATTATTAATGATGGTCAGTTAATTAAATTTTAGATGATCTGTTTTCCAGAACATTAGTTCAGTTGTTCTTGGTGAGATTGGACGATAGCAAATATAATCTGGTGGCATCATGTCGTCTTTCTTCCTTTAAAATAGGATGTGACTTGGATTACGCCCTACTCACAATTACAAGCAAACATTTGTATTGAATTTATTACATCACAGGAAAAGATGGAAAAAAAATCTTAAGTAATCAAGAGTGTTGTTAATCTAAAATCAAACGAGGTTTTGCCAAATTGGAGGAGAGTGGGTCAGAAATAATGGTATGAAATGGCGGAAGCAGTATGGCAACGAATAAAAGTTGACAGAATTTACCCGCGCACGGGAATTTGCCATCTTTTTTATGTAAATTATAAAAAAATTACAGATTTCACCATTTCTAGGTGTTGGATTTGTATTGCTTTTAAAGACGACATAACCCGTGCCTAAGTGTTTTTTTTATTTTATTTTATTTTATTTTTTTGCAATTTGTGCTTAATTGTTTATCAGATTGGTCAGGGTCTCACGCATTTTCGAGTCTCGCATGACGTGAAGTACTGCCGGATACCTCGTTTTGGGCTATCTTGGGCGGTTTCCATGAGTTGTGCGAGCATTCATCATATTTGACAGAATTCTTTTGCTACATTTCAGGCTGGCACAAAATGCTGTTGTGTATCCATTTTTAAGATATATCCCTGGAGATCCATTTAAATTTCACTACACTTTTAAATGCATGGGAACTACACGAAAATTCCTCGAAGAGAGAATCGAGAGACATGTGGCAGAATACGACCCGGACAACATAAAATGCTTCACAGATGCCTACATCAAGGCTATAAAGGGTGAAAAAGACAAAGAGGGAACCTATTTCACAGGTAAAAAAAAACAGGAGGGGGATAATAATAAAAATAGATAATAATAGTGTTTTGATATCTTCTTTTCCTTTGACACACTACTTGAAAAGTACAAATTGCGAGAATAGAGGCCTCGCCCTGGCTCCATTATGCTTTCCCTATATTCAAGGGAATATTTATGTTTCGGGGAGCGTTTATTCTAAAATTGCGCGTATTTATTCTCCGCTTTCGATAAACATCATATTTTCTCAACTTTTTGGACACAAAAAACTTTTGAAATCCAATCTTTTTCTTCTGATTTAAAATCTTTTGATAAAATACTCAATATATATATATATATATATATATATATATATATATAT